CTTACAGCACTATTTATGGGCATCTATCTATGTTGAATCATTAATTTCCAAGTCACACTATGGAGGAAGCCTTGCATCAGCTCTAGTTGATGGATGATGCTCTGAGGCACAGAGAGTATAAGACATACATTGAGTCTCTTCTAAATAAGGAACAATGTAGAAGGCTCAATCATTTCCCGGATGAAGACAAAGCTAAGAAGAATGCAAACAGGTATCCTTGCCAAGGCACCTTTGTGCATCTCTTTGTGTGGATCTACTGCTGTAAGAAACAAACTCAACTATAATCATCATCACTATGTCCAATAAAACGACTAGATAGATAGTAAAACAATGTCTTTAGGCATTTCTAAGGAAATATAAGGTGGTTTGTAATGGAAAACTGTAAGATTGACTGAAGCTTATGTAGAGTCTCTCCAGGGAAAGTAGAGGCTACTTTACAGAGGTATTTTAGTTTTCCTCAAATATTAGCTAAAGCCAGCAGGTTTCTACATAAATCAACTTCCCTTCAGTGGGAGAAAGAGGCTATAGGGACTCCATATGGACTGAGATACACCCAGAGTTTAGAACTTATGTCTCCTCTGTGACTCTAGGTTTTCAAATTAACAAGAGCAGAGGTTATTGCAAGGGCCAGTCCTTCCTGAAGCACTCAGACAGGCGGCTACATCAGGACTATAAATGTAAGTATCACATTACTAAGGGCTAGGCTACTAGGAAGCTCCAGACTTTTGAAAATAGCTCTCTTAATCATTCATTCATTCATTCATTCATTCATTCATCCATCCATCCACTCAGTAAACATTTCATGAATTTCTACTGTGTGCTCAGTAAGTGAAAGGATGATACAAAAGACCCTAAAGGCCAGTGTCTGAACTTGTGAGGTAGGCCAGCACACAGTGTGTTACTGGAAATCTGGCAGAGGCATCTCCTCAGCTGAAGCTGGAACAAAATAATCTGGCTGGAAAGCACCTGCCAAAATTCCAACACCAGCCGTGAAAACTATGGTGCATTCTCCAATAGATTTGCTACATTTAAGGAAATGGACTTCTTTTTTAAATTTTATTTATTATTTTTATGTGTATATGTGTATAGCCTACATGAAGATAAGTGCACCCGTGTTGTGCAATGCCCGCAGAGGACAGAAGAGGCTGTTGGATCCTCTGGAACTGGAGCTATGGACAGTTGTTAGCTGCCATGTGGGTGCTGGGATTCGAACCCAGGTCTTCTGCAAGAACATCAGTGTTCTTAACCGCTGAGCCACCTCTCCAGCCTTGAAATGGACTTCTTTTAATAAGAAAACCACGAAGGAGTAAAATTGCATCTGTTTACTATTATCTATAAGAAGCAAAAATTGTTGGGGGGGGGCACAAAACTCAAAAGAATATTACTAGACCTTGTATAACTAGAGAAGCTCAATTCATGTAAAAATACTTGAGAAAACATTCCTTCCAATTAGAATCTACATTTCTCTGTTATTTTTATCACGATATGGTCAGTACTTAGAAAAGCTATTGCACATATCATAAATGTAATAATTTATCAATAACAATCATATTTTACAGAATTCTGCCATGACTCTAGATTTTGAAAGATTTTTGTAAATTTTCCTCACCCACAATACCATATTTTGCTACATTCTGGATATGTTAAGAACATATATTAATTACTAGGAGAAAAGAGAGGAACTCAACTTTCCACGCAACGCCTAACGCCACAGAAGATGCTGCATGCACATCTTGTTTGTTCCTAAATGATTCCTGCCCTCATGGGTACAGATGTGTGTACTTCTGAGAAGGGCTGGAGACGTAGCTCAGCAGTAGAACACTTGCTTTGGGGGTTGGTTACACAAAGTTCTGGGTTTCATCTCTAGAAGAGTTAGTGCCAACTTCCAACTAACCAACACTTAAGGAATAGTGGTATATTAAAAAGCCTATCTACAAAGGAAAACTCTGGAAACTTCAAAGCAAGTTTCAGTCATTAAAGATATGGTGGCCCATGCCTTTAATATCAGCACTGGGGAGGCAGAAGCAGGCAGGTGTCTGTGAGACTCAGACCAACCTGATCTAGAGAGAATCCAGGCCAGCTGTGGCAACATGGAGACATAAATAGATTAAGAAGGGAGGTTAATATTATGTAACTATATTTATGAAGCTGATTTACTATTTGAAGATGACACTTATGGCCTTAAAAGAAAAAAAGGGATGAAGAGAAGAAAAAATACAAAATGTGAAAGGGCTGAACAGAAGAATCAGTAAGCAAGCACACGGGCCATCTGCCAGCTCCCTTGAGCACAATCATATACTTCTGGGTGGTACAAACTAAAAGGGTAAAGTATGTCTGAGTGCTCTGCGGAAGCTGTGGGAGCTTTAGGTCATGAGCCTGCCTCCTCCCAACACAAGGATAGCTTTGACTACATCTACAAGATCTCATTAAAAGTCCTTCACTGCCACGACTGTTAGGAAGTAAAGCTTTGGAGACAGGCATATTTACCTAGAAATGTCAGTGACCTTTTCTTCAGTGCTCAAAACCACTTTCAATAATTCAAAACTGAATTCAGCAGTTAACAGCAGGGTAGTAGGCAGTAACTAAGAAAAATTAAGCACTGTGATATAAGGGTAGATGTAAAAAATAAGTGAGGCAACTTTTAAAGTTTTCTTTACTTTTAAGAGGAGACAAGTTCAGGCTGACAGGGCGGCTTATCAAGTTCTGGGAATTGTTTATTCATCTTAATAACTATCTGAAGAGATCCAGAAAGTACTTTTGCTCGCCCTCCAGGAAAAGCTAAAATTTCAATAATCTTCCAAATGTCTCTGAACATGTTGCCTATTTAAGTAATATCAAAAATTAAGAAAAACATGTATGTGTAGACAGTCGTTCTCAATGTACAGCTACTCATTGAGGATTCTTTGAGTAAAATGTTAAAACAAGCAACTTAGACATCCAGGGTGTTTAAGCAATTACTGGTGGTCTGGGAAAGACAAGCCCTTAATGACTGCTGTTCACTTCCTCATACACCTCAGCTTATAATCCAGTTAAAAAGGAACTACTTGTAAGAAGACAAAGCTAATCTCTCCACCTCATCCCCCTAATCACCAAGTGGTAACGCTGAGGTGCTGAGAGTTTCACAGTGGAGACAGGGTCAGAAAGGCATCAAAAGGCAAGAGTATTTTCAAAAGCATGGAAATTCTTTGTTATTTTCAAAGTTTTCATGTTTCTCTGAGAACAGGACATATTTGTAAACAGGCTAACACATTTGACATTACAAGGGTATGGATTCACTACAGGACTGTGGTAGGATTTACAATAGCACATTAAAGTGGTTATTAGAGCTTTGGCATAGTAAGTGCTCCGTTAGTTGTTATCAAAATAGTGCCACTGAAAAATATATTTTAAAAAATCAAACACAATCTAGAGTAAGTGTCAGCAATCCTAGTTCACTCTTTTTACTTAAATAGACTTGTAGAGATCTAGGCTTCAGGAATCTACATTAAGTTATGTATAATTTTTACCAATGTTTACTCAGCATAATCCCTACAGAAAAGAACAGTGAGTTAAGGGACATGAAAACAGAAATACTAATTACGAACTTATACTAAGTATTTCTGGGCTGGAGATATAGTTTAGTGGTAAAGTACTTGTCTATCATGTACAAAGGCCCTGGGTACAATCCCCAGCACTACAAACACACAGCCATGATTCCATATATTGACTGTAGTTTATAATTTACTTACTGTTTGCTGCAGATCTTATTGAGTGAACACCACAAAACGAGTCAAGGCAGAATAATGAAGAAGAAATTGAAGAAATAAACATCAGGGTGCTTTAGAGGCAGAGAGTCCAAGGAAAAGACTGAGCTTACTACAGGAGAGGAGAGCTAAAAGCACACAAAGCATGGTGGGGTGGGGGTTATGAGACAGAGGCTGAGACGGGCACGTCAAGGAAAGGCCTGCTTCTTCAACTTGATATAAAGTCACAGCACTTCATCCTGAGGCATACTTTTAATCAACCTAATATCTGATTATATACAATCAACTCTGGCTTCTTCTAAGATCAACAATGAAATACACAGGAAGAGAGAAGTTACAAATCTGTATAAAAGAACCAATCCTCCAACCACACACAGAAAGAGAGTGGCAGGCAGCGAGGTCGTGCTGCAAACCCCAAACGCACTCCTAACTGGAGGAGGGACAAAGGAGGACTCCGGCCTTCCAGACAAACCTGTTGGAAAGGTCGACTCTGGGCCTGCCTGAGAAGCCGCTGCTGCTGCTGCTGCTGCAGGAGTTTCATCTGGAGCAGCTGCTGCTGGGATGTGATGGTGTGGAGGGAGGGGGACTGCAGCATGGCACCTGAGCGCCGCTGCAGCATGTTGGACAGCGCTTGCTTGGTATTGGTTGGGACAAAGGAGCCCACAGGGTCCAATCTGGAGCCACCTACAAAAACGAACAGAAGAAAGGACTTTTCTAAGTATGTAAAAGCAACAAGTCTTCTTTTTTTTTATTCTTTAGACGAAGCATTTCATTACAGCTTTAACATACTCAGTAACAGTTTCCAGAGCAAAGATACATCTCTTTCAAAAGTGGCTATAAAATTTTTAGGTTCACAGTTGAATTAATAAAAAAAACAACAAATAAAAAATGAGTTATATTTGAGAAGGAAGCATAAAAATTTACATCATCTTAAGGTGATAAACATTACCACTGAAATCTACCCAATGACTTTATAGACATACACAGGTACCAAGGATCCAAGTGCAACCGACTATGACTAGTAATAATCAGATACATATAGCTTAGAGACGCATGTGCCAACATCTATTATTAGCAAAAACAATGAGTCTTTCTGTAAGAAACAGTATGTTTTAAAATGAAATGGAGATCTTTTTTAAGGTTAAAACAGGTATTCATTTATCATAACAAAGAAATTTCACCTTCTCTCACTTTATGAACAAAATAGAAAATACTGTACTATCCTATCAGTCTAAGTATTAAAGAACTATTAAAAGCTGCATCATTTCCAAAAGACAAAAGCATGATGTGAGTGAGTTAGACTACCTTTACTATTACTTCATGGAGGGCACACTTCAGTTGATAAAAGGAAATGCCTGAAATAAGTCAGCATAGCTTTAGTTATGTGGACTATAAGCCATGTACATTCCTCAGGAACATGCTACTTACATAAAGCATATTGCCCTATGTTAGATTTTGCCAAGAGTCTTAAGCCAGACATAGAACCTTTTATATTTTAAACGGACCTGAAGCTTGTGTTATTTAAGCTCTGTTACTGTAGCAAAATGAAAATGTTCATTTTATAGTAGGGAGGCATGAAAACACTTTTTAAAAATGTGTAACAATTGGAAATGTCAAACACCACAAACATCTCCTTTTGGAAGGCTAGAAATCAAATGAACTGGAGATGTTGCTTAAGAAACTAAAAGAAATTTGCATTGACAATCTGTCAAGGTCTTTACTTTTGCAATTTACTTCAGCAATTCATGGCTTATGGTAAACGCCAGTCCTTCCTTCACAAATACTCTACATTCTTTGATACATGTAAATGAGAAAACTCTATATACGTATCTCACAAAAAATGCTTCATTTTTTAATGCAACACATATGATAGAACAGCATTTTAAAGCTACTTGCTTGGAAACCTGCTTGGAAACATTAAAAATTTGTCAGTTAGCAATATGATGTGAGTCCTTCGGAGGCATGTGAAAGACACTTGGAAATAATGTAACTTGGTAACATCCAGGGAGCTGCACTGCAGCAAGATGTGCAACTCTACTAGTAATCCATAGATCTAAACCCAGATATAATAAATTTGTTTAAAGAAAAAGGGAAACTAAAAACTAGCTACAATCTGCGTTCTTTTTTTTTGTCTTTTTTGAGACAGGGTCTCCTGGTAGCCCCAGCCATCTTGGAACTCACTATGTAGACCAGGCTGGCCTCCAACTCACAAAGATCTGCCTGCCTCTGCCTCCCAAGTGCTGGGATTAAAGGCGTGCGCCACCACACCCGGCCAATCTGTGTTCTTACACTGTGCCTTCTTACAACCTTCCACCTCTGAGCCAATTGAAAACCAACATTTTATAGATCTGTCTAAAATGCATTCCTACTTAATGACTTTCCCTACCCTCTATAATACGCGATACTGAACTTAGTGTTTAGTACGTCCCCGTATTTCCTTAAATCATTCATACTGATGTGTACAGAAGAGAAAGGTATGTATGTATTCAAGTGCAGAAAGACTGCTCTACATTTGAACATACATGAATGAGGCTCAGGTGATGGTTCAGTTGGTAAACTGCGCTGTTTCACATGCATGAAGATCTGAGTTCAGATTCCCAGCACCTACATGAACTACGTGCAGTTGCCTTTGTAACCCAGAACTGAGGGCAGGGGGCCACACACTGGCAGAGTACAGGGGCTCTCTCGCAAGCCAATTCAGACAAAATGGCGAGTTCTAGGTTCAGTGAGAGACACTATCACAAAAAGTAAAGTGGAGAATGACAGAGAAAAATACCCCATACTGAACTCTGTCCTCCACACACACAACCACATGAACACATCATACAACACACACACACATGCATGTAAACATACATGAATGGAATCACACTATGCATACTCTCCACAGCTTTACAACATTTCTTTTGGTATAAAAATCTATTAGCTTTCAGAATATCCCCAGAAATTAAATTTTAAAAATTATTTTTTACATGGCATCCACACCTAAAGTTGTTTAACTTGTAAACACTTTTGTACAGTATTTCAGAAGAGGGAACTTCCTTCAGCAAGTAGTCAGCCTTCCATTCTAAGACAGCTAGTGTGTTTTACTTTAATATCTAAGAAGTATAAAATAGCTTAAAATTTCACAAGAATGCATTATTTTCTACACTTATCGTTAGATCTAGTTTGTTCTTTACAGTCTGCATTCATTCATTCATTGGACTTTTTATCTTTTCTCTTTTAAAAATTATTCATTTATTATTATTTTACATGGATGAGTGTACTGCCTGCGTGTGATTCTATGTTATGCAATGCCAGTGGAGGCCAGAAGAGGGCATCAGATCCCCCGGAACTGGAGTTACATATGGCTGTTGGCTGCCATCTGTGCTGAAACCAGGTCATTCGGAACAGGAGCCAACGCTCTTAGCCACTGAGCCATCTCTCCCTCCTCTTTTGTGAAATGTGGTCTCTCTCATGCTATCCAGGTTGACCTCAAACTCCTGAACCCAAGTGATTCTCAGGCATCACCATATCCATCCAATAGTCTATATATTTAATTTATTATTTAATGCGTATCAGTGTCTTGCCTGCATGTATGTAGAGTCACTATGTGTATACAATGCCACAAAGGCCAGAAGAGAGTGTCAGATTCCCTAGAACTGGAATTACAGATGGCTGTTAGCTGTCTTGTAGGTGCTGAGAACCAAACCTGGGTCCTCTGCAAGATTAGCCAGGGATCTTAACCACTGAGCCATCTCTCCAGCATCCCCATCAGTCTACTTTTAAGACTCAGACACTGCTCTTAGATCTAGTGATAATATAGTGAACAGAAGAAGAAATTGTTTGTCCTCACAGAGCTGATGGTCTGAAGTACAAAGATAATAAACCAGCCAGAATGTAAAGTTCAAGCTAGTAATGCTCGTCCTCTGAAGAACAGCAGCATGGGAGAGGAACAGGGAATACAGGCAAAGGATGTGGATTACAGCTTCAAACAGAGCAGCCGTAGGTGAGGCCCCACTGTGAAAGAAGTGTCAGACCAAACCCACTGTATGCAGGTAGCAGGCCAGGCAGGCATCTGAGGGAGAGTCCTGTGACCACAGGAAGTAGCACGTGCAAAAGTCCTGAGGTAGGAAATGTTCAGATCACTCACCAATTCTGTCTGCTGTCTTCTAAAGGCCACACATCTTTCATTTGCTTTAAATGTACATGCATGTGTAAAACTTATTTTATTATATATATATATATGTAATAAATTTGATTTCCTTTTTGAAAAATAGGCATTTTGCTCATTAAAATAATTTCTAGTTTACAGATGTTTTATCTAGAAAATCTTTATTTGGGTTATAAAATATACTTGGGGCTTGAACCAAAGCAATACTACAATCAGGAGTATTTGCTATGGTGTGGTAGTTTTTCTTGTCAATATCTAAATCTACTTTCCAAAGCAAATTTCTGGGCTGCTTCACAATGTAATTTTAAATTCGCAATATAAGAAAGAAAGAACACATCAATACTGTCTGGTGTTTTAAATTATATCTGATAAAAATGTATGCAAGCTTTACAAGAAATACTTTTATCAACTTTGTATCTTTATATCTGATAATCAGCAGTAGTATCTTTCTAACATTGGATGAAAATCTAAAAATCTATGCATATAATTTCAACTATTAATTAAGCTGTACTTCTTTATTTATTTGTGGAGATAACTCCCATGCTCAAGTGATCCCCCTGCTTCAGCCTCTGACATAGTATTTGGAACAGAACCAAACCACTGTATTTAGCTGAGGCCGTATTGTATTTCAGAGAGAAACAAATTTTGAAGAACAGGCATTAGGAAAACACCAACCAAACACTGACTACCTTATCAAGATTTCCACTTTCTTTAAGTTTAAGGCTAAAAGCAAGGAGAACCAACTGTTTCTCCGAATGAACTGACAGTGCTATCTGTCACACACCCACCTGGATTAAGAGACTGGTTCTGCAGGAAAAAGCCTGGCTGCTGGGGCTGGCTCACAAGGTTGTAACCCCACAAGGCGGGCTGTGGATGGTGCATCATCTGGGAGGACATGGGTGAGTAGTTAGGAGGCACTCGGTATATGTTGCTCTGTTGGTAGTCCTTCAACACAAAGATGTTTAAAAAACGTTAACTGCAGCATACCATATAGCTGAACACTATAAATTCTTCCTATTCCGTTATTTGAGATGCTCCTCCCCCAGAGTCCAAGGCTGTTTCTGTAAAAGGGAAAGTGTAGAACAAGAATGGTAACAGAGGCCCTGAAAAAGACTCAACTGAGTTACAATTTTCTTTGATTTAAAACGTGCGTAGGTCAACTGTGCTCATCTAGCATGCACAAAGCCCTCTACAATCAATCTCTGGTACTGGATACCCCTCCAAGCCCCCGTCCCATGCACACAGAAAAAAAGTACTTTGCTTTCAGTAGGCATACATAGAAAATGTCTTAATACAAATGCTAAACAAAGTCCACAGCTGAAAGAGCATCTATTTCTTAGAAGGCCTTACTGACACCTGGGTTTGCTAAGACTTGTGCCAGAAGGGCCCACAATGCTACAGGAATTATTTCTGGCCTAGATGGTATCTTTCCCATATTTTGGCAGCATTCAAAAGAAGCAGTCATTGCCCCAACCCCTAAGCCTCCTCTTACTAAAGCAGCTGCATTCTCTAAGGATCACACTAGAAAACCTCAACCTCCTTACCATCCATCCTTTCCCTAGTCTAGCCCTAGATACAGGTCAGTGAAAATGTCAGTATCCTGTAATTTGACAAAAGGATGTAATCCCATCCACTGGGAAGAGGTGACTCCAGGAGGAGTGAACTGAGATGGATTTAGGACTTCTGTGCACAAGAACAGTAGCTCATCCACGTGGCTTAGCAGGCTAGGATGTTCCAGGTCTGGGAGAGGAGCAGGATGGACTATATTAAATAACTCTTCAACACAAAGCCACCAGCCTGGCAAGAAGACGGACTGAAGAGGACTGAGGAGGACTGAAGAGGACTGAGGAGGACTGAGGAGGACTGAAGAGGACTGAGGAGGACTGAGGAGGACTGAGGAGGAATGAGGAGGACTGAGGAGGACTGAAGAGGACTGAGGAGGACTGAGGAGGACTGAAGAGGACTGAGGAGGACTGAAGAGGACTGAGGAGGACTGAGGCAGTAGTATTCAAATGGCATCTCAAAGTGACAGCATCTAGTCCTAAAAGTGTAATATAATTTCCAAGCTATCAGATAGGAAAGAAACACAGTTGGGTTTTGACACAGGTGCGTGTAACAGTGATTACTCATGAATAACTGAGTGCTTAATTGTGAATACTTCATCCTCACGCAGCAAGAACGTTCCTGTGTTTTATAGAAATTTAGCTGAAATTTCTCTGTCAAGGATTTCCCAGGTAATTTCAAGTGGAAAGTTATTTTAAGTGTTACATCTTATATTCCATAAAATCATTTCTAAATTATCACCTAACAGACATCTGCTTGAAAGACAACATTAATACTGGTAAGGAAAGGTGAGAGGAAAGTAAGATGATAAAGTATTTAAACCAGGATTATTTTATCTTTTGTAAAAATCTGAAAATATACTGAAGTAGGATGCACAGGAGTAAGACACGAGGGTGAAGAAACCTCAGGAGATTCTATCAGACCAATCACATGCAAATTCTTTTAGAGAAAAGCAAAAAGAGCTTTCTTATGTTAATTAACTGAAATCAGAACCACCCAAAATAAGACATTTAAGCACACCTATTCATAAAAAGTATTTAAGAAGGTGGGGTTATATAGCTCTGAGATATCAGAGTTTCAAACCAGGGAAATTATGAGGCACTAAAATATTAACTGAGTATTATCCAATATTGATAAAGTCTAAAGTGAAAGTCATTGAAAATGGAGAGGGGCGCCAGGCGTGGTGGCGCACACCATTAATCCCAGCACTCAGAAGGCACAGGCAGGTGGATCCTGGTGAGATCCAGACCAGTCTGGTCTGCATGGAGAGTTCCAGGCCAGCTGGGCTACAGGAAGACCTTACCTAAACAAACAAAACAAAACAAAAAGGAGAAGGGAAAATCAGAAGCTTTAATCTGTCACCTGAGACAAATCATGGCATGCCATTCAGTTAACTGGTACAGAAGTGTGTTAGGATAACTCTGTAACAAAGCTGGCATCACTCTTAAAAAGGTTTGGTCTCTAGTGCATGGCATCCTAGGTGCTGGTAAGCCGAGCTTCTTACTTGCCCCACTCACATCAACTCGTGAGCTTGACTTCGTCTTACGCTTCCTTCCCTTGGTCTTCCTCTCTTCATCAGCAGCAACTTTTCCCTGATCCGACAGCTCGGCTGATTTCCTTTCTGGTTCCTGAGAAACTGGAGATGTGGGCTCTTCCTCTTCCTCCTCCGGAGGCAGGGGCAGTGGCTCGAGGTAGTAACTTCGGGGCTTGGGCATGGGGTGTGTGTGGTACAGAAGGAGGTGATGCTGTTCCTCATACTTGATCACCTTCCGGTCCACGCGGACAGTCCCAAACCAGGCCCAGGACAGAGGAGCTGGGTTCTTCTGACCCTCAAACAAGTCCCACGGGGACACCTTCTGCTTTGTGGACACCTGAAGACCCTGTGGTAAAACAATGCTCGGTGAAAACACATTCCATCCTCTTCCTGACTCACAGTGCAAGCTTGCCAAGGATGTAGACTCAGTATCGTGGCTTACTGGGCCTTAGGGAACTCAGCAAATGGGGTTACACAGCGAAGCTATGGGAGAGCTTCAGCTAAAGTTCAGATCTTTGAGTTCAGGTGTACTGATCTAGTGCTCCTCAGAGGCATCACAAGATAATGTAGTGTATTTTACTATAAAATGACATTTTTCGTTTAGTTTTAGAAAATACAATTTCTAAAATATCTTGTAAAGTTGGTCTTACAAATATTAAATCATAGCCAGTTACTAATCTCTGGAATCTATTCATTATTTTAAGATAACAGAAAATTTAAAAGTCAAGATACAGTCAGTCTTTAACTAGGCTCATATTAGCTTCAATCCAACCTGCTTGGACTTGATTGAACATGGGGACTTTCCATGTACCTAATACACCATTCTCTGAAGAAAATATTATGACAGAATTAGAGAAACAAGTACAATACAAAGCTTTTCAACTCCTATTTTTGCTGATTCTAGGTAAGGAACGTCATACTGCTTCAGAAAAAGGTTGTTGTTTTTTTTTTAATTTGTAACATTAATTGGTGATGTCTCTTAGTTCTTTTCCCAGTATACCAATTCAAGCACATTTCTTCTCAATAGCCAAGGTAACCTTTGGGTCACTCCCTGGATCTGAACATTCCTGTTCCTATCCTCGCTTCCCCTTTCAAGAGTGGCTTCTTCTAGCACCACCAGGAGTCACTGCTGCCTCCTGTCAGTCTTGTGATGAGTCTACTTTCTGGGGAAGAAAAACACACATCCAGTGGACTCTGGATGTCTACTACTAGAGAGCTTGACCCTGACTAGCCTTTTCCCCATCCATAATCACACTGTGTGGACACTTAATCTGTTCTGAATTACAGTAGCATTTCGTGTCCCCATGAAGTCACTTCTTTCGTGTCTTTCCCTAAACTTTCTCCCCTGTTTTTTCCACTCATTTTCGAACCTATCAACTAACTCTTACTCCTTCAAAATGGTCTGTATGGAGCCTGGCTATGATTACCTCTCCCTGTCCGTGTTAGATGGTGCTCCCTCAGTAATGGGACATCTACTGCTTACTAAGGGCAGGAACTCTGCCATTTATTTTGGTGACTGCGGAACAGCAGTGGTTAGTTATTTAATGTTCTTTAAAAAGCATAACTGACATTCTGCTACTTTAGAGAACCTTTGAAAACATCTTAAACAAATCTACTGTCCATCCGCCACTGCCTCACTGAGAAGATGTGATGCCGTAAAATGTAAAATTACCTTTATTTGATGTATTTTATGCAACACTTGAAGATATTTATCAATACAACTTTTCCAACATAAACACACTGTTTCCAATTCTGAAGTAAAATCAGAACGAGATTATTTTCATTTTTTTACCCTAAGCTTTTACTTGGCTCTTTCTTAGCAGATTCCAGACCTTTACCTAAGTTTAAGTAAGCATTTTAAACAAAGATCTTGAAAGATATGACTTATTTATAATGGCAAAACAACTGTACTTAGATGACAAAAACATGTCTTAAAAAATAAAAAAGAAACATTTACTCTTGCCTGTTTTTTATCTATGGAGTCAAATCCAGCTATTTTATTTCCCTTCGTGTCAATCAAAGAACCCATAGGTTCACAAGTGATGACATCACATGTCTGCTTTGGCAAAGGCAGCAGCTGTCGAACTTTGTCAATGCTTTCTGACTGCTTGTCTCCCAGTTCTTTCTAAAAGAGAAAGAAAAAAGAGAGAGAGCAAGAGAGAAGTGAGACAGAAATTATGACATTACAATGAATGCAAAAGTGAAGAAGAAGGAAGTTCCCCCAGGACACATTTCCTTTTTCTGTAGCTAATACGCTCTTTAACCCTCAACACAGTCTACTGAGCAGCTGCAAGTCAGACTGGTGAACATGTTTCATTTCTTCTATTCAAGCAGAAAATAGAATACACACAAAGGCAGTCTTGTTATAACAAGAGACATCAGAGTGCTGAAATGACAAAAACCCACAGCATCATTTGCCCTCAGAAAGCAGGAGCCTCAGCACGGAACACTTTCTCGTATCCAGGGTCAGACCACAAGGTAACCATTAGTTCTTTTTTTGGTAAAAATCTTTAGATATCTATCTGTCTATCTGTCTGTCTGTCTGTACTGTTTGCTTGCCATTTATTCAAGGTCTGTGAGTAGCTTGTCATATGAGCCAAATTTACAAATACTGGTGCAGATGCTAAGTTTTCAGCTTACGTGTGTAAACCCCAGCATGGATTTAACCTAAATCTAATGCTGGCATTCTGGTCATATATTTGATAATGAATTTCTAATGTAATCTACAAATTAAATATACATCAATATACTTTTAAAAAATCATGGTGGAAAAAATACGTTTAACTTTGAGAGGCTCCTAAGTCTAAGTAAGACAACAAATAATCACATTAAGTTGAAGGAGACATTTAAACTACTGAGTAGAAAATCAGACAGCAAATCCATAAACAACTTGAACTCAGAGTACAGAATGATCACAAACTTACTTTCAGTTTCTTCACTAAGTTCATGTATGCACGTTTGTTCTCTTCAGAGCCCCCTGGGGGTGCATTTGATAGGTCAGAGGCCAATGTCCCATTGATTAAAACACCCAGCATGTCAAGGACTGTTGTGAATAATTCACTGAGGAAAGGAAACAACCCTCTTATTCTTAAAGAAAAACCAGGGTATACTTTATTGTCTGCGCATATCTACAAAGCACCGAATTTTTAAAGGCACCCATGTCAGTAAAAGATGGCAGAACTTGTTATCAGTATGTCAAAGCTTATACCGTGCATGCATACAGCAAAAAGTATGAAATAGTAAAAAGACGTACTTGTTAGTGTGCATATCAACAGTTCCTGAAGTAATTATCTGGAGGAGTAGGAGGGCCCAGTCTGTGGTCCCCTGGGTGCTCCTCTGTACCGTGTCAAACATTCCTCCCACCTAGCATACAAAATACCATAAACGATTTGCATTGTGTAGGAGCAAATACTACCCCATCATTCCATGTGCCCAAACGTTGGTTTGTTAAAACAAAAGAGATGCTCAGAACCAGTCTTTGCGTCCTACAGTATGGATCATCCTATGTTCTTTCTCCCTAGCTACATGTTTATGACTAACTGAGTTCTTTCGGCATAGATTAATCACATAAAATTTGAACAAGGAAAGTAGTACTTCTTAGTGGGCACTAAGAAAATCTTTTCTTGTGGCTCACCTACGATATTCAGTTTTAAGATGTAACTGCAGATAAACTAAACTGAATAGCATCAAAACTCTGCCTGATTATCTGCAATTTTGTGCATTCAATTCCTATGGTATCTAAGCCCACCATTAAAATCCTCATGGGAATGCTCCCTAGCACAGAAGGCACCACCACGAGCCTTCCACTTCCTGTGTGGAGACATGGATGCCAAAAACCCGGCAAGCCCATCCAAAGTAGCTTTCATCTGGGCTCATCCAACGGGAAGAGAAAAAACCCCAAAGAATGCAGACTGCGTGAAAGCTTTAGATTTCTGTAAAAATACTTGTGTGATTTGCCCTTTGAATCAATTTGATGCTGGTTGTTGTAACTGAGAATCGACAGATTTTATGTTTTTTAAAAAAATATATAGTCATAGTTAACACTCATACAGAAGAGCCTTCCTTCTTAGACCTCCCTTTAGCACAAACTAATGAGGAGGAGAGATTTGCTGGACGGGGGCCAGGGTGGGGAAGAGAAATCGGTGCTAGAAATACCCGTCACTGCCTAGAACTCAGCCCGGGCAGGAAGGAAAAGCAGGAAGGAAAACGGAGGCTTGCCATGCAGACGGCCCAGAGCAGTTACAGAAAGACCGGGGTAGAGGAGAGGAAAACTAGAACCGGTCCTCACCAGATTTAGGCGGAGCTGCAGAGCCTCATACATCATCTGCCGTGCCTTAGCATCATCTTGGTATCTTTCTTCCCTCCAGTTACTTAAAATCTACAATCAGAAGACAAAAGGAGAAAACAACCACAACAACAAAAGCTCCTTTGCGCTCTGTTAGGACAACTGTTTACATGTCTAAAATAAGCTTTTTGTGATGTCCAAAACAACTTCTTAGCTTTAAAAAAATTAACACAGAAAATTAAATCAAGTTTACTGCCTCCTTCCTCTTCTTCCATGTAGCCAAAAGCTTAGATATTTTATGGTTTACAAGCCTATCCAGGTGGAAAGAATCATACTTATTTACACATTTACGTATATGTGCGTGAGCATATGTATCCTCCTGTTAAGTTTTAATAAGCTATTAAATTAAACATTAACAAAACTTTAAATATGTGATTTAGATCAATATTGGAGAGATAGAATTCCATTTTACATCAGTCCCATGTATATCGGGACATGCTATAAACTCTAGAAAATGTTATTATTTTATTTATTTTATATTATTTTTATTTTATGTGTATGCATGTATTTCCTGCATGTAGGTAACTGCACCCATGTCGTGCAATGCTCACAGAGGTCAGAGGAGGCTGTCAGATGCCCTGGGACTGGAGTTACGGACAGTTGTTAGCTGCCATGTGGGTACTGGGATTCGAACCCGGGTCTTCTGCAAGAATAACCAGTGTTCTTAACTGCTGACCCATCCTCCAGCCCCCAAAATGCTATTAACATCTTATTTAAAAGGTTACTCACTAGCTAATCAATAGCCTTTAGTTGATAAAGAGAAGGCATACTATTTTGAAAAATGTAGACATTTCTACTAAAGTTGGTCAAATTTACAAAGTGGTTAGTTTCTTCATTTCCTCACTGCCTCAAGACTAAACTAGAGTGGAGAAAGTTTGCTAAAGAAGGGCAAGCCACAAGTGGGCCTATGCCAGAGTCAGAGGACATGAGCCAACAAACAAAATCAAAGTAACAGAGCTAAGGAGAATCGCTTTGAGGTCTGGGGAGATAACTCAGCAGGTAAAACATCAGACAACAAAGCGTGAGGACCCGAGTTGGAATTCCCACTTAAAGGTGGGTGACTTAGTCGGCACCTAGAATTCCATGCTCCCTTAGGGAAATGAGGGGTAGGAACAGGAGAGTCCCCAGAAGCTTCCAGGCCAGCTAGCCTGGCACATGGGACAGTAAGGAAGGAGACCCTGTCTCAAACAAGATGGAGACAAGGATAAGAACCAAGATTGCCCTCTGACCTCCACATGTATACCATGCACCTGTATTCTCTCACCCCACCACTATTACACACACATACACACACACACACACACACACACACACACACACGCTAAAATGAATCACATGTACAAGCAACCACTATCAACAGCTGACCTGTGAGTATGTTGCATGATGAGAGAACAGCACTTTCCAAACTGTATATAACACGAACCTCTGCCATTAAGGTAACAAGGTAGTTACTCACAAGTTATAGATAGAAAAGTAGTAGAAAAGTAGTGAGAGCTGGGCCTGGTGGCACAAGCCCGTAATCCCAGCATTTCAGGGGGCTGAGACAAGAAAACCTCGAGTTCAAGATTCACCTAGGCTACAGTGAGAACTTAATACCAGCATAGGCAAGACTTTAATCTCAAAATAGTAAGTTATTTTTTTTAAAAAAAAAAAAGAGGACCAGATACACACACACACACACACACACACACACACACACACACACACACACATATATGTGGCTCAGTGGTAAAGGCATAAAAACAATAAATACCATGAAGCAAGGCTGTGCGATAGGAAACAAGGCTGAAGATACAGCACATGCCTGATCAGTCAGGGCTTTATTAGCCCAGACTTGAAATTCGTATCCTGAGTATAATGAAGAACATGGGAGTTTTCTGGACACCAGAATCACATGTGCATTGTATTTCAAAGGATCACGCTAGAGCCTGGGCAGAGAAAAAGATGCTTCATATGGAGCAGGTGAGATGACATATAGAACCAAATAAGATTTGGCACCCTTGTTCATGTCATCAAATCCCATTCAGCACCATAAGAAAGGGTCCATCTGCCTATGTGTCAAGACAAACCATCCCACAACCAATCTAACCACTTTGCTTGATTGCACGCTTTCACACTCCAATGACCAGCAGAACTGTGTCTGATGAAAAGCCAACAATGTGAATTTTGTGAATGAACCAATTTGCCTTCTGACTTACGAACTAGTTTCTTAGGCACTTGGTTGGCATCAAACCAGTTTTGGTAGGCCAATAAAACAGCTTCCACCGAGCTTGAATCAAGAAACTGTCATCTGAGGAACAGGCCACTCCACTGTTTCCCAGCATTCCCACCGCAGAAAAGATTGCTTCAGGTCCTCTCGTGGGAGGTGGGTTAGGGGAAGTGATTTACTTTTATAGTCTCTATATATGTCTATCAATGCATAATTAATGTCATAAAGTTTCATAAAGTTGTTAGCCTTATGGTGACCATAACACTAGGCAAGAAAACCTGGCATGGATGTTTCCTGGCATTTCATCTTAATAGAAGCATGTGTCTGAATTTGTTTTGAAAGGAAATTAAATGAATGCCAGCAGAAAGGTATACCTGGCTTAATGGCGTTCTGTACTTTACCTGATTAACTTGATTCTGCAGAGATGTTAGGAGGCCTTCCCGTTGTTCATCTTGCCCCTTAAGGCAGGTAAGGACCAAGGAGAGGAAAGGTTGCTGACTCAAAAGAGACATACTACAAAGGAAGTACCAACAGATTTAGTTAGAAAGGATAGCCTGCTTCCTGTTGCAGCTCTTTGCTCTTCCTTATCGCACTTAAAGGAGGTGGGTGGTGAATGGCCAGAGAACATTTGGGAGGGTAAAGCATACCTGGATTTACCAGAGTAAAACCCACTGGCAATGCTTCTGAATGGCAATGTGCTCTACTGGCCAGGAAGGCATTCCCAGGGGAACAGAAATCCAAAGTGCATGTGATGAATCTGCTTTATATTATTAAGAGAATTTTAAAATGTGCATCGCAAAGAATATACGTGTATACACGGAATAAAATGGAAGACAGAAATTTCTCACACAAAATTCTTACTTTAGGAAGCAGACCTCTCTGTGTGCTTTGACTACTATGGAGGCTTGCATTCTTCAGAATATTCCTCAAGGGCCAATAGTACAGTTTGTTAAAGTTAGGACTGGTCACAGGGTCTGAAGCCTTCAAAAGCAGGGTTGTCGGCACCATCTACTGCCAGACTCTGACACAGCCCATGGCTTCCATTGGCAAAGGGACAAAAATTCTATTTAAAATTAAAATATCTTCAATTAGAAAAACATTGGTAAACCAACTGCTGCACTAGAAACTTTCCTTTAAAAAAGGTCTAGGCAAAAATGTTTCAATCAATTGATACAGGATGCTAGGCAACTAATAGCACTGGTGAGTTGGGAGTTATTTTCATTGATAGTAATTACTGGTGAGAAGTGAGGTTTAGTGATAATGCTATAGAAGATAATGTGTGCACTGTAGACAGCTCTAAGGGAAGTTGAGATTGGTGTAATTAGGAGGGCTCAGGTGTTTGTATTAGATGTATTTATGGCGTCAAGTCAATGATTAGCCTTTTGAATAAAAGCCTATTAGAAAGGGTATGCCTTTAGAGGTACTTAGTACTTAGGTACTAGGAAACAAGTGGTAGACAAGAGGTGGTAAACGGTATGTATTTGGAAAGGCCTCCTATTTTACAGGTGTCTTGTTCATCATTTTAGGCTATGAGTTAATAGAGCCTTGAGCACAAGACAGGGCAGCTTTAATAAAGCAGGAGTGCAAATGTCACGGAAGGGCAGGTGACGCTGCTTTCACAAGACACCAGAAAAGAACAGCTATGGCAGTATTTTAAGAGGGAACAAGAAATCTCCATGTTTAAATTCTTATAAGATGGATGAAATTTTTACTCTTTTCTTCTACAACTCCTGAGATGCTAAATTTCTAGTGTGAGTGCTCATCCTCAGTAACATGATCTATTTTCAAGAGTAATTATTTGAAACCTTTCCTTGGGCATAGACTACATGAAGAAACATTAGTTTTGGAAGCTTTTAGTCATGAGTTTTAATCAAGAGTCCAGAACACGACTCCTACATTTTAGAAAATCAGTAATTATTTCAAGGTCTAGTATACCACTAGAATTAAAGGTAATTCTGTGTTTCAACAGGTTAGCAGAGATTTGGACATACAGGCAGGAGAGTTAGTGCACTAAATATCATCACAAGACCAGAGCCTTGCCTAACAGAATTTCCCACTGCATTTCAAGACTGCATTGTGTAGACACTGGATATGATGCTCCCCATGAGGGCAGGACACTAGACACTTGTCTGGAGGGAAGGCATCTGCCAGCCATACCTTTTCTGTTTCTGCCTGTCTCTCTCCTTTTTTGAAGAAGACCCCAAATGCTGTCCCTTCTCCAGCTCTTCCCCAGCAGCTTTTAACACTCTTCCCTGCACGGAGGTTGGCAGCCTGGCGATGAGGGGGGCCACCAGCCACACTCCCCTGCGTTCAGAGGAACTAAAATCAGAAACAGGCATTACACCCGAGAAAGCAGCGCATTCTGCTCTCGTAGTCCCAGTGGTACCCCAAAAGCAAACCTTTGATAGACAAGACAAAGACTGCTCTAAACTTTCCCTTCCACTTCTGGACAACTTCTCTAGCCAGGGCCCAGGCACCGCTCACACCTTCCACCCACATTCAGTGGGAGCAATACAGACCATGCTGCTGTGGAAGGTGCTGGTATGTGAACTGCTTTCAGTGACCCTCTCAGATCCTGCTTGTATGACTACGAATCAGCCTTTTCTTCACAAACAATATATGTTTCGATTGTGGTTACAAACACAATGGCAATGGGATTAAACGAAGGAAAATTTAATTTTTAAGTTCTAAAATTCATCACTTATACTTTTTACCAAAATGATGAAATACAAATCAATCTTTCATGATGAAAAGAATTACTTTATGATTTCATAAGCACACCAGTTCTAAGTATGAATGCAAATTACTGTATTTGTGCAAAACTACCAACTAATAAAGACACATAAAGAGTGTTTCCTATTTAATGAATGGCCCCAAGACACTAACGCCATGAGTTAAACGTGAGTTCATCTTGTGGCTCCAAGGTGTCTGGGTCTACAACCAAAAATCTAAAATGCTCATATATCAGCTGGGGTGTGGTGGCACACACCTTTAATCCCAGCACTTGGGAGGCAGAGACAGGCAGATCTTTGTGAGTTCAAGGCCAGTGTGGTCTACATAGTGAGTTCCAGGACAGCTGGGGCTACAGGGAGACTCTGCCTCAAAAAAAACACAGACACACATATATTTACATAAGAGAGACCTAAAATAAAAACAAAAATAAAATGCTCAGATATCACCCACCCTACCTTTTCCCTTCAACTTGTTAAATGATGGGAACTGCCACTTACAAGTTATTATTTTCCTCACATCTCCTGCAGCTTAACCCTGCACTATGCTAATCATTTCTGTGATAGGAGAAACATTAATGGTTCGCCAATAAAGCTGCACAGAAATACCTTAAAAGTGTCTTTATCCCATTCTGTCTTGTGCTACCTGCATCAGCACTTCCGATACCATTTGGGCTGAAGAGGCTCATGCCAGAATTGGAGGAGTTACTGTTCAGGTCTGCAGACTGCTGGAACACCTCTATCGTTGCCTTTGCAATGTTGTCCAGTAAGTTGTTCATTTCAGCCACAGAGCCAGAGCCCTAGAGTCAGGCATAAGAAAGCTAGCACATCCTTGAACCCCTTCATTCTCAAGCATGAGTTTGTTTTCTGTAAGATTTCATTCCCATATGTGCCCTTAGTTTGTACTCACAGGGTCCTTCAAGCACTGTTTGATCATTAACTGAAGCTCTAGCCAGGACTGTCTCAACGTCCACTGCTCAAGATTCTGGAGGAGATGCAAAGAATTGCAACACTGAGAACACTGAACCTATAAAACACAGCCGTGCAGTGATAATCACACCCAGAAGAGAACTCACATGGATTAAGGGCTTCCAATCTCATTATGAATACTGGACGTACACACAAAGAAATAGATGTGAAATCAAAATAATGCTTCTGACACTATTAGCCAGGAACTAGAAATAAAACAGGCATTTCATCTCTCAAAATCTCTTTACCTAGCCCGCCTCATTCCAAAATGATGCTAGTATTTCTTAAACAATGTATTCAAGACTGCTTCAGCACAAAGATTCTCATGTAAATACAACACTGGCTTAAATCACCAATATTTACCTGATGAATAAATACAGTTGGCAGTGTCTCTATCTACCTACAAACAACCTGTGGCAATTCCATAAAAATTTCCATTAAAAAAGATAACTGGAAAATATAATGAAAGTCAGAATTAAATTCAAAAAATACAAATAACAACAGCAACAAAAACTCATTAATTCCTTCTTGCAATCACAGACAGTGGGATAAAAGAGCAAAACACAATCGTTGGAACGGACCACGTACCTGAAGAATGCGCTTAATGTGTTGTCTTTGCAGGTTGTCGCCCTCTGCACACTCTTTAATGCCATGAGGGTAACAGATAAGCTGCAGTAACTTCTGTGCTTGCATATTTGAAAGCACAGGGTCCAATATAAGTTCTTTGTCTGTACATAATCTTTCGGGTTCTTTTAAGCAATGTTCTCCTACCCATTCCTAAAAAATAATTCAGTCATTAGATTGGCAGGTATTGATTTTCTACGTATTTTCTCATTTCTTCTTTTTCTGTTTTTCCAAATAATTTTGAAGGCAATATCTAAAACCCTTCTGAAATAAGAAACTACAAACAAATCCTCAGCTCCTCTCAGAAGGCTTGTTCCCTCGTACTGGATGTGCACAACTCTGAAACTACTGTAGGTGAGTGTGTCGAACACAGCTTCTGTTTTGCAAGAAAGTAATACTAATATGAAATGGGAGAAAGTAAAACAACTGCATAGGGGTGGATGAGGATTGGAAGTATCAACTGAACTCTAACTATATGCACACATGGATCCCCCCTCTGCCAAGTCTCTGCCTAGAAGCAGTGGTACCCCACAGCAATAAGCATACATGACCCCAATCTTTCCTTCTTTCATATGTATGTGTGTGTATATGTTTGTGCATGTGTGCATGCATGTGTGTGTGTGTGTGTGTGTGTGTGTGTGTGTGTATAGGCCAAAGGTAGACATCAGATATTCTAGATTGAGGCAGAGTCTCTAAATTGAACTTAGAACTCACCAATTCAGCTAGTCCACTTGGCCAGCTTGCTCTAAAGAAACCCTGTCACCATCTCCTGAGTTCTGGGATTACAGGCAGGCTAGGATGCCACAGCTGCCCAGCATTCATATGAGTGCAAGGGATCTGAACTCTAAGTTTTATCTTGTGTAACGAGTGCTTTGCCTATTGAGCCATCTCTCCACCCTCAAACCTTGCTTTCTAAGGTATCTAATAAATAGGAAAATCATTTCTTGGAGAAATGGGTGATTACAGCTCTGTGGTAGGGAAGACAGAGGATGGACAGGAAGGTGGGAAAATGATTCTCTTTAAGGGATGGAAATATGTCAAATAACACAAAGATGAAGGGACTCTCAATAAACAAATCTAAAACTAATTTAAACATTAAAGAACATATGGACAATGTATCATAGCCCATGTGGATAATAAATAAATACAAACGAACAAAATAACGAGAAGGGTAAGGTCTTTGTAGAACACAAACTGGTCCTGTGGAGGAAGAAGAGTTGATGGGCAGAAAAACATTGTACAACCATCACAGTAAACATGGGTCTGGACAAGAACTAAAATGGATGTTTCTGAGGGGGGGGAGGATGCGATAGGGAAGAGAACATGTACATCATCTCAGAGTCTCCCCAAAGACTACTAATTAATTGAAAGAAGAAAAATCTTAACAATATCGCGGAAGAATGCTGAACGATGTAATGGAGACACCTTGATCAAAAGAACCTCAGCCATGGGCCAGAATGAGCACCTTATGCACTCAGAAGTGGATAGCTGAAGGAATACAGCATCACCTCTGTTCTCTTGTGGCCAAAGACATGAAGCTGATCCAGGTAATCCACTAGAACAACTGAACAAACTGGAAGGTTGCCTATAGGTAGGAAAAAATACTGGACCAAAACTAAACCGTGTTTTGCTAACTAAACTTTGGTTGTGGCAAGAGTGAAAAGTGAGGTATTCAAAATTATGCTATTTTTCCAGAGATTTAGAAAAAAGCAAAGTATAAAAATTAGAGAATCTGTATAAATATACTGGAGTTCATTATTATTGCAATTCTTTAAAGTTATCAGGAAAAAGGGACCACCTACACACGGCTTTCTTTTTTTTTAATTTTTTTGGTCTTTTTGAGACAGGGTCTCCCTGTAGGCCCAGCTGGCCTGGATCTGCTATGGAGACCAGGCCAGTCTTGAACTCACAGAGATCCACCTGCCTCTGCCTCCCAAGTGCTGGGATTAAAGGCATGTACCACCATGCCCGGCCTTACATACAGCTTTCTTAGAATGGTGAACAGCTGTCTCCAAGAGAATAGTTACATGTTCACAGCAAAAGCCGACTGAAATCAGAATAGTACCTGTTGGCAGATAGTCCTCAGTACATATCTAGCGTATTCCCTTAAATTGGCAGTTTCTATGGAAATGCTTTTCCCACAGGATTTTGAATTCTGCGAGGTGGTCCAGATATCCTCGGCAATCCCGTCACGCCGTAAACCCCTCACAGCAAACTCATCATTCTTTAGAGAGCTGACACTGTTACTGCCAATTTTGGCATCTCCTAAATAACAGAATCACAAAAGCAAAATCACAGTTCAAAATGTTGCCGAATATTTAAAAGGTAAATACAGCTAGCTTTAGAATTTAAAATATGTGAGTGGTATTATCATTGGGTGGCCGGATGTTCAGCAAGAGAGAATGGATCAAGAGAACAAATGAAAGAGCCCATAAAAGCAGTGGAAATGGGAGAAAAATCCAAAGCAAGGCTATTCCTTCTTTTGGTTTACAAAATATAATACACTTTTCCCAAGCTTGGAAAGGCCATTATCAATCGCAATACTTTATTCATTTCACCGAATTTCAGGTATGAATGTGCTCAAGTTTAGCTGAGCGTTAGACAAGGGAGAAAACAGGTTACTCACCTTCCGGATGTCCCTTCTCCATTTCTTCTCTTACAATGACTTAGTTTCTATCCATAGGTCAAGAGAAAAGTTTGGCCTTAGCTCACCTTACTATCAACTTCTTGACAAGAGAGATTTATTTCCCTGGGAATGGAAAAGGGCAGCGCATACTAAGGGAGCCCTAGAGATCAGGGAACTCCACGAAAGTCTGTCTTTCAAGTTCCTTTCCGTAACAACCAACTTAGAGACCATAGCTGACCAATCTCTGGCATACTGTGCGAAATGAAGCTCTAAGGAAACTGTTTCCTAACATTTCTGGGAAAAGAAAAAAACTCAACAGGATTTATGTGACTAGAATAAGAAATCTCTAGCCATGAATAAATAAAAACACATGTTTTAAAAGTGAGAGCATAGGGTAATTTGGTAGTGAAGATTGCCAAGCAGCAGCAGAATAATCAAAATCTGCCTGGTTAACCAAAAGATCAAAAGAAGTCTTGAGACAATTTCCTGAAATGAACAAATGAGCCTTTTGGTAAGGCCTTCACCAGGAGAGTAAAACTAAGTACAGGTCAGTGCAGATCACTTTTTGAAAACACAAGGTCAACCCCCAAAAGGTTTTGACTCTGTTAAAAAAAAAAAAAAAAAAAAAAAAAAAAAAAAAATAGCCAGGTGTGGTGGCACACTCCTTTAATCCCAGCGCTCAGGAGACAGAGGCAGTTGGTTCACTGTGAGTTCAACAGAGGCAGATGAATCTCTGTGAGTTCCAGCCAGCTGGAGCTACAGGGAGACCCTGTCTCAAAAAGACAAAAAATAAAAAAATAAAAAACAATCAAAATGCTTTAACTAATATTTACTTTCAAAATCTTAGAAATAGAGGAGAGGCTGAGGAAGCCACTCAGTGGCAGATTACTCGCCAAGCACTCATGAGACCTTAGGCTCTATTCTACAACTCTCTCACCCCGCCCATGAGACCTTAGGCTCTATTCTACAACTCTCCTACCCCGCCCACACACACCAGTAAAGAAAAATCACAGGGAGGAGTAAGTTATTAATGCATTATCAGATTATAGGCACTGTCATTAAAATACAAAAAGTACTAACTTTATTCATGGGAGTTTATGCAATTCAACAGAGCTTTACAAAACTAGCTTAATATTATACTAAGAATGTATGTATTGGACGATATAAACAACTATCTCTATCTCAAGTTAAACTAATATGTAAATTAGGAGCCAAATTCAGTATAATCGTTCTGTCTCCCTATCTTAAAATATATTTTGGTAGACAGGAATCTGAAGAACCCTGGTGAGGACATGAGGTAAGGTTAAACATCTTCAAGAGCAAAAGCTAACACCTCTCACACCCACCTGTACATCCCCATTTACACTGCATGTTAGGAAGGCAGAGGTTTGAAGGACTGTGCTGGAACCTTCTACAATTGTATACATAACAAACTGAATACTCAGTGTGACCCTGGTCTAAGGCTCTTCTGACATTAAACTGCTTTGATCTCAATTCTCGGACCATTGGAACACCCTCCAATATTATTTGAATAAAGACTTTGTCAAATTGTACTTGGGATCAGACTAGTCCTATACATAAGGGGTCACCATCTAGATGAGAATCAGCATATCTACCACTGAAACACTTGTTACTTGTTCAGTCGCACTTCCAACATGAGTTTACTGCAAGCCTATTTCCCATTTTCTCTAATGAACCTTATGAAGAGCCCAGGAGAAAGCCTGTCCCTGCTTTCATGACCCTGACAATTACTTACACAATGAAGTTGATCAGCTCTCCCTTCACCTCATCCTCAGAGTGGAGAAAACACAAAGAAATGAGCACTTAGTGTGGGCTGCTAATACTGAAAGCCCCTGAGCTCAGACAGGAGGCTGTTGCTTTCATGGTGCCGCTACCTTTCTCTTTTTGCTACAAAATTCAGAAGCATTTAAAAATATATGTATATTCCTTTTAACTGATTTTTTTTTCGGTCTTTTTGAAACAGGGTCTCTCTGTAGCCCCAGCTGTTCCTGGAACTCACTATGCAGACCAGGCTGGCCTTGAACTCACAGAGATCCACCTGCCTCTGTCCCCTGAGTGCTGGGATTAAAGGCGTGCGCCACCATGCCCGGCTTTAACTGAATTTTTAACAGGTTCTTTTTACAAATACAGTTATTCCTCACTGGCCTCAACAAATAATATTGTCAAGCAAGGTTGGGGTATATTCTTAATTGTGTTCTATAAGACGATCCTAAAGTGATTCCTATCTGTTCAGTAATTCTGTTTAAATAAAAGTGAGTTCCTTCAGAACAGGAAAAGGCAATTATTGTTTAGTTAAGGCCAAAAGGAGGTACCCAAAGTTAGAAGAAGACACTATTCAAGACTCCCACATCATCCAAATCCTGTGTGGCTTACACAGTCAAGATGTCTTGGGATGTTACATGGCCCATGAATGGAGGGCAGCACTGTTACTGCAGGAAAATGTGGACAAATGAGAGTGCGAGGACATTCTGGACATTCTGAATTAAACGAGACGATGCTGGCACCTAATACTGACATCAATAATACATCAGTACAAACCCCACCTGACTGAGGAAAATCCTACAGTAGGGCAGGAACCTGAAACACTAAATTACAACCCAAGTTTCTGGTGTTCTGTACCTCATATATAAGCTGGCTGAAATTTAAGTCTTTTATTAAAAATACTAAGTCAGTCCTGCTCCTCAAAACATGTTATTTCTGCCGGCAAATGAAGGCAAAACAACTCTGTGGGACTGAGCCTCTGATCTCCATCAGAGTGAGATATCATACGACTAAAATCAGAGTCATTGTACTTCTCCAGGGTCAGGTTGATTAAGGGATAGACAGACTCCTCCAAGTTCCCATCCCTCGGACTTGGGCAAAACCAACTAAACTTCTAGGACAAACAAAATAAACCATGCTTCCAATCACATTATTTAGATTTAAAAGTGAATAGGAATTATTTTGCCTCCATTTCTGGAGTTATGGCCAGGATATTCTTACCAAGCATCATAATCGCTTTTAAGACAGCAAAAACAGCTCCCACTTCAATGCTGTTGTGAGCGGCAGCTAAGAGGTGTCTATCACAAGATGATCTTATTCCGGGGAAAGGTTTACCTAGGAAAATAACAACAAACCTTTAATGGCCTCATTATCATCAACCATCCTCCATAACCATTCACAGTCAGCAGGGCTGCTCATTGTTACCTTGTGGGCACTTAATTGCCATTAGCTTGTTTTAATTGTTGCTCCATGGACTAAGAAACAGTGCCAGCAATCTTGCTTAACCTTTTCTTTTTTATTATTAAAACATTGTTTCTCTTCCTCAGAAAGATGTAGGAAAAAGATTAGTAGGATTCCCACACAGATGTATACATGCCAATACAGAAATGATCTTTAGGACAAGACTTCACGAACTCCCTTGGAATTCTTACCTTACCCAATTGCCTTAGGAAAAAATAAATGACTGAACTGTCATCACCCTAAACTGAGAAGGTATGGCCCAGAATCAACAGAGTATACGAGAGGATCAAGCTGCCCACCAGCATGGCATGTCCTAAGAGCAGAGGCATTTTTATTATTAATTCCTTGTTTTTATTTCCCAGTTCGTCCTGATATTACAGAAGTGAAAGGCGCTGACAGCCTTCTCCGTGGCATTATCTCACTCCTCTATCACCTGCAGATCAAGCCCATGAAAATCAGGAAGGAAATTACACACTGGGCAGCCCACTTGCTCACAGTAGACCCAATATATCCAAGTAGATGCAACCATAACTCTCTCAGCCATCAGCTCACCAGTCGCCTGAGGGAAGAAGCAGGCCTGGGGAGCTCGGAAGAGGTGAAGCAGGAGGCGGCAGGTCATTCTTGCCCCAGGTTCTGCATCTGCATCTCCACAAGCTAGAAAGAAGGGAATGATTAAAAAGCACACTTGCTCACAGCCTCAAGAAGTCCTTCAAATTTTCTACTAAGTTAAAATTTCTGGAATACAACAAATCCTCCTTACAGTAAAGAAGTAAGGTCATTGGTTGTACTTTTCCAAGACACCATAGCACTGCTTTACAACAGGTATAAAGTAATAGTTTCCTGTTCCACAGAGATCCAATTGCTCTGCACAGAACAGTGACTACAGGTCTACCATGGCAACCTAGTCCCATACCATGCACAAAGCACACACACCCTGAATGTTCCTTTCCCTGTGTTTTAACAGTCACACACAATTACTAAGCAACAACCAAGAACAGATGCAGCTCGTGGCCTGCTCACCTGCCGCTAGGAGAGAGGGAAGTGCAACGTGCTGCACCACGTCCTCCAGGGAGAAGCACTGCCTTGCGATCAGAATAGCAATGAAAGTAGCTAATGAATCATGGAATGAAAGGTCGCTCACCTTTAAGAAAAACAGGGAGAGTTTTAATACCTAGCAGCTTAAACAGTATCAAAGATCAACATGTAAGAGAATGTAGGCAATATCCTTAGGATTTCTAGTTTCAATATGAACCCACAGAGGGCAATTATTTATCATGATTATTATCCTCTTAGAACCATTTCTAATTTGTAAGACAAAGCAATCCATGCTCTAGGCAGGTGCTGACTGTTAACCCATGTGCGTACAACTGAAAAAACCAGAAAAGAAAGAGCAAAATCAAAGCCTCTGGAAATGCAGTGCAACAAATATATATCCGGGAATGTAATGAATGATACATTTGTACAGATAAGACAGGAAGCAGCGTGAAGGGTCCCCTAGTGGGCAAACAAGGCCCACTAATATTTTACATTCTTTCTGTGATAACTGATAATATTCCTTAATGTGACAATTTCCAATTGCCTGCTAAATTTCCAAATCAAGATGAGAGAAAGAGAAGGAAAATTCAGTCACAGTGAAATGTCTACATTCCAGATCTCATAAGACTTGGTAGAAAATACCAAGAAAGCAAACTAACACAATGGCAGGCTTCCTATTGATTGGTATCAGGTGTCAGCAATTCACAAAATGACATTTTTTAAATTCTTGGGTCTTTTTTGGTGTAGAAAGACAGCCTATCACTGATGCATTTTGCATAAATAATATTTTAACCACAAAATGACAGTAAGGAAACAGGACTATCCACTTTTTTTTCTGAGACAATAGAATTAGCAAATAAACCTTTAATTAAGAGGTAGCTTCACAACTCTGTCAAATTCCCTTTAATAAGATATATAAACATGTCACAGATCCCTCCAAAGAGTGATTAAAAAGAACAGATAAAGATTAGATTTTTGTCATGTGCATCATGCCTGCTACATGAAAGAATGGGAAGTTGTGGTACATGATTAGGGCAGTCTCCATCACTCTCAGAGAAAGACTGAGTATCCTCTGATCGTACACATGGGCTTTCTTATGCAGCACAACAAAATCTGTATTCTTAGACTTAGAAATGTAGTCAGAAATATAGATAGATGATAGATGACCCAGATAGATGATAGATAGATAGATAGATAGATAGATGATAGATAGATATAGAGATAGATAGATGATAGATAGATGATAGATGGATTGATAGATGATAGATAGATAGATAGATAGATAGATAGATAGATAGATGATAGATAGATGATAGATAGATGATAGATGGATTGATAGATGATAGATAGAGATAGATAGATAGATAGATAGATTAGATTAGATAGATGATAGATAGATAGAGATAGATAGATAGATTAGATAGATGATAGATAGATAGAGATAGATAGATAGATTAGATTAGATAGATGATAGATAGATAGATAAATAGATAGATAGAGATAGATAGATAGATGATAGATAGATGATAGATAGATAGATGATAGATGATAGACAGATGGATGTTCTTCATTAAACTTAGCTATTGGAAAATTCAGACAACAAGGAACAAGTTGGAATCTCTGCTACACATTCAGCTGTTAATTTTGCTTATTTTGATTTTTGTTTAATTCATATCAACTACACTATGGTTTATCACTTTTGGAAAAAGAAACAAAAAGTACTTTGCAATGTTACAGCTCAGTTAACTAAATAGTAAGAAAAGATCCGCTAGCTGAATTTTCAAATGCAATTTTAAATGAAAAAGGACACTTACATCTACAGTGCACAGTACATCATTAAATCCCCACACATGATTTGAAGAACAACACAGAGCCTTCAGAACCCCCAGCCACTCCGAGCTGAGAACTGTACAGCAAGCAGTGAGCTCTGAGGAGAAATTGGCTATGTCGTTTATCCTAGGAAGGAAAAAGAAACGGCAGGAAGTAATTTAGTACAAACGAGGAATTGATTACATATGAGATTAACACAATCTCATCAAGCAAATCATTCTTTAAGCTTAAGGATATAAATACACACTTGCCAAATTACATATAGAACTTTGAGTAAAAAGTACATACACAGCCTTAAATGTCTTTTAATAATTAGTGCAAAATGTTTGGTTCTATGAGTACCTCATTTATACACTGATATTCTATGCATATCAAAAATGAAGGATGTAGGGCTGGAGGTACAAGCTCAATGATAAAGGGGCTGCCTAGAGTGGGCAAAGCCCTGGATTCAATCCTCAGAACCATCAGAAAATGTATTATGCAGCCCAAGCAGGTTCAGACACAATTTGAATCAAATCACAGGTTTCTTTTAAAAATGGGACAAGCTTTTCAAAATGGATCATAGCTAAAATATCCCATGCTAGAACAATATTCCAGAAAGCACTGTTTCACACGTTAGATACATTAATTTAGGATAGAGGTAAAATCAGAAATAATAAAAAAAGAGAAAAAATAAATAATACCCAAACGTGAGTCTAGGTAATTACCAAAGACCTTAATTTCATAGAAACATCCAGACAACCACGCCTGCGCTCTTTGGTTACTGATCAGTTCCCAGGTAAAGCAGCTCACCGGCCTGCATCCTGGTGGCCCATGCACACATTCATGAGCGTGTTGCAGACGAAACTGTACCGATTGGCAGCATTGTCACTAAGGATCTTGCCCAGCATGGAGTAGTTGATGCTTCGGGCTGAGGGATTCTCAATAAAATCCATCATGAAGTCTGGATCCCAGCGTAAGTTGGAATTCGCAGGCATTACGTTATTATATATGGTCTGCTTTACTTTTGAACAGGCACTACTGAGGTTAGAAGAGGAAAAGTTAAAACAGAAAAACGGAAAAAAAATAACAAAGAAAAATCTTTTCACTTAAGGACATGTCAAATGGCAGTCACCGGGACACTTCCCTAGATGAGCCACATTCTATTATTAATTCTTATTCCAAATTCTTAATAAACCAGCACTGGGTACAGTGCCTGAAATTCATAACTGATCAACGAGGAGTTTCTGAATTTGTGGAAGGAAACAAGAATGAGATATTCAGCTACTAATCGTCATGATTTTAAATTTCTTTCTCATTTATGTACCCTAAAAACACTGATGTCCTTACCAAGGACAGGAGTTACAAAATGTTATTATCTAAGAATAAAACTGGATTCAATTATACACCAGGAGAAATATAGTATTTTAATCCAAATTTCACAATCCCAAAACCTTTCTTCTGGGTACAGAGTATCCAGGGGTAGCTCACATGCCAAGAGTCTTATGAGCACCGAGCCACAGCTATGACAAGGTGAGGTGCACTCTAAGTCTTCACAGAGCTCACACTCTCCAAGGGGAATACAGATAATATACGCATTCTATAAAGCAGACAAACTATTGTGGTATGCCTAAAAATGTATGTGTTTTTCAGCAATATTAAAATTATTTTTAAGATAGCCATGTGTAGTGGTATACACTGTAAATTCCAGCACTTGAGAATGGGGAGGGTTGTGAGTTCCAGGCTACCGGGATATACCCAGAGATCCTGTCTCCACGAGAAATAGAAACATACATACACACATACATGTATGTATA